GGCCATCAATCTATCAATTTTTTTTATGCACTAGTATCAACTCTGTCTCTTATACACATCTAGACATAGACTCATGTACTGTATATGACAAGAGTGGCATATACTCTGTATTCTACTAAATAAATGTACAAATTAAGGCCAAAAAAAAAAATGATTGTGTTGGCCCCGCCCGACCGACTCAAAATTTACGAAAAATTTATTTTATTTTATTTTTATTTTTTTTTCCGACAAATAACAATATTTTTTATGAGCTTATAAGTATGGAATAGCCTTGGCGAGGCTATTGGGGCCAAGACTAGCCTATTTTGCTGGAATGTACGCGATGCGAATCCAAAATTATTGTATTATTTGTGTATTTTCTACTTTTAAGTCATAACACATATTTGGTTGTTTTAAAAAAAAAAAAAAAAAACTTCTACCGACCAACCCATTTTTTGGATTTTCCCAAAACGTAATCAACACAATATTTTTTTTTTTTTTTTTTTTTTTTTTTGGGCCTAATCAAGAGCAGGCCCGTAACTAGAATTTTTTTGGGGGGGGTTCAAATTTGGAAAAAGTGGAGCTTTTGAAGATGTTAACGACCAACCAATTGCGCTGACCTCATAAATAAGAGTTCCATCTTGAAACTTGTATTAAATGTTGCTACTGTCTATAAAGATTATTTGAACAGGATTGTTTTTTTTTTTAAGTTTAAGCAATCTTCTTTCAAGATTTTTTTTTTTTTGCCATCCAAGCGGAGCCAGCTAGCAAACGGCGGGGTTCGTCCGAACCCCCGACCCCCCTGGTTATGGACCTGCAAGAGTGACATATTTACTAAAGTATAAGCCCGCTCCCTGCTTTACATGTGATTCCAGGAACCAGCCTCTCCACTTGCAAAAGCCCATTTGAATGAGTACCATAGCTTAGCTGACAAATACTTCAGAAAGAAAATCAGGTGCTTGAATTGAATTGGGGATTTAGTGTTGAAAACTTGCCTTTTAATTGTCCAAAGTGGAGAGAGTACAACCAAAACTCCAAAATTTTGCCCAAATTTGTGTTTAATGAGGGGTTATCCCCAGGCAATCTACAATATATATTACAATGTATCTTGATGTTTTGAATTAACAAGGAAACTATTGCCATTCAATTTCTCACAAAATTTCTAGCCACCCAAGTTTGTAGAGTTTGAAGCGACAGTGAAGCAGGCGATTGAAGCTCTTGGTGGCAGTGTTTTTCCTAAGCTGAACTGGAGCGCTCCTAGGGTGAGTTTATTGTTGGCTCGTGTGATATTAAAGTGATTTTTTTATATTCTCTAGACTCATCTGGGTTTTAAATTGAGGAATTTCAGTCCCTACAAGAAAAAAGAAAATTATGCCTAATGAGGGATTTTAGAAATATACGAGCTGGGCCATGTAGTACCACATGCAGTATACAACAAAACTCTTCGTTCAAAATCAATGTGTCAAAGATGTACTTCATATCCTATTGCAGTGCAATGTTTTATTGTTTTAAAATTTTGGGTATATGGATAAAAGCATATTTATCTCTTTTTTGTGTACCAAAGGATGCATCATGGATTGCATTTGGCAACACTCTGAAATGTGAAGGACTTAATGAAATCTTACTCCTATTGAAAAGTTCCGATTTCATCACCCATGATCTTACTAGACCGTAAGTTGTTGCATGTAAGATTTGATTCAATTATATCAAAGCTCTCATATTATAAATGTAATTATAAGCCATCAAGCTATCAATTTTTTTTATGCACTAGTATCAACTAGTGTACTAATTTTCCAATAGTGCATGGAAACCTTTATAGATTTATGTTATTATTTTAGATCATTGATGTTTACATGTTTATATTAATCTACCAACAGTAAAACCGAATGTAAACATGATATCCACTCAGTGGCGTATCTAGGGGGCATCTCCCCCTCCCATATTGAAAAAGTTTGAACCAAAAAAAATCATGCTCACACCTCATATCATCTTATTTTGCGAGTTAGCACCCCCTCACTAAATCATCGAGGCCACCACTTCATCTTTCCCTCCCCCCCAAATTCAAGACTCCTAGATACTCTACTGTATCCACTATTGACAGCTACTTTCTTCTGTTAGGTTTGACTGTTGTCATGACAGTGGGACTCACAGTAGTGACAGTGTGCAATATGAGGTAAATTTATTTGTTCATGGATTTTTTATACAATTTTCATTAAATACTTTTCAGTAAAAGAATTAATCCCTTGGCATACCAAGGTGCATGTTTCCTCAGTGGACTCCCACTTTCCTGCAAGATTTCTTTCATCTTGTGCCACTGGTCTTAAAGTCAGTTTCAGGAGCGGTTAATGAGATACTATTTTGAATATTTAAAAATTGGAGGAAAAAGGGTGGGTGGGTACATGCGCCCTGTTCTCTTTCGGTATTACCATGCATATCGTAACAACCAACTATTTTGTCTGTATCAAACATTTTTCCCACTCCAATGTGCCATGTTCTTTCATGTATTGTCTTACACCTCACTCTAGTTCTGTTTCCTTTGGATATTCATCCGTAAAACAGACTGTAAGGCCTGTGCGAGGAATAACCTTCGCATAAAAATTAAGCCTAGAAATCTGTCTGCCCATTTCTGAAAATAAGGGACGATTTCCACACAGATTTTGCTGAAAATTAGGCTTTGACCTAATGTTAATATGTAACCAATGTATTATGTAGTAGTTACAATTCTGCGTACGGTATCATCTGCGCAGTTAAAAGACTTCACAGTATGGTCTGTATATAAATATGACTATAACTACTCTTGTCTTATATTTGTTGATTTTCTTAAGCTGGTTTTAAGAGAGTGGTGCAGCCTAGCCCAGTCTATGGAATTCAGAGTGTTCGTAAAACAAGGTGTAATTGTTGGTAGGTGAATTATTTTGTTTACAAGTAGTACTTTTTATCTTTGTTTGTTATATTTAATGTCAGTAATAGATGACAAAATTATATTTGCTTTCTTTGTCTTTGTCCTGCAGGTATATCACAAAGAGATTTCACCAATTATTTTCCTGAACTCAAAAATATTGCAGCCAGGTTACCTCGTGAAATTCAGCGCTTCCATTCTAGACACATTGCTGGAAAATTTACCCTTCAAAATTGTAAGATTCATGATTGTAATGTATAAAGTAATTGGGTTGCTGCAGATTTGTTGCCTACTGGCATGTTTACAATCATCGTCATCCTTCGGCTGTTGCCAAGATTATGTACACAGGTCTAGGCACATTGCCACCAGGCCTTTTGCCACTCTAGGCTAGTTGCCACCCAAGGCTAGTTGTCCCCAGGCCTTTTACCCCCAGGCCTTTTACCTTGTCTATAGCTCTATGCATCATACATCATTGGTCAGAGTATGTCACATGATACAATATTAAAGCATTAGTATAGAATATAAATTCATTCTTCCTTGATTAAATATATATTTATATCGCTGGAAAATTTACATGACAGTATGCAACCCTATTTATATGAATACAAAAATAAGATTATGTTTACACAATACATTTCCATAGTAATTAAAATGATTTACCTTTTAATTATTTTAGATGTGTTTGATGTTTACAGAAGAGCTACGGTAGGTCTAATTTAATCTATTTAATAAAAATCTAAAAAATAAAAAAAAAATTTTAGTAAATAGTTAAACCTGTAATGACGAAATTATATCTTTGAAGCTATTTCTACCTTAGTTTGTGAACCTGCCATCTACTGGTAATAATCTTGAATGAAAACAAAATTGTAATTTTCGCATGTTTGCCATGAAATAGTATGTTTATGAAAGTCTTGTATCATTTAACCCGATGAATCTACGATCCAAGTATAACTATCAGAATTTGTTTGTTCCTCCCCGATAAATCTATGATGCAAGTATCACATTTTATTTTTTCCTTTTAGAATAACTATCTTTTGATTGATTTCAACCCATTTGGTGAGGTCTGTGACAGTCTATTATTTTCCTGGGAGGAACTGAGAACACGTCAAGTAGATGGAACACAGGTGAGAAAGCATGTCTCAGTTGGCTTTTTAGTAAGCTGTTAAGGCCAACTCAGACAGCGTCGGCCGACGCAGCCCGACCCGATTTATCGTCGGGGACAGTCTTGAGCAGTCGTGAGAAATATTAAACATGTTTAATATTCTGATGCCCCTGATACACCCCATCGCGTCTGCGTTTAACTCACACAGACCCGACGCGACAACTAATCGCGTCGGGCTGCGTCTGCCGACGCTGTCTGAGTTGGCCTTTAGTGGTTGGCCACTGAGTTGGCACTTTAAACATTAGATTTTGTAGGGATGTGAAATACAGTGCAATGCTTGTTTTTGCCACATACACACAAGTACTGGACAATTTCAAAATCTAAAATATTGTTTACATTATTGTTTCTAGGAAGATATATTTCGGTATGTCATGCAGCAAGAAGGGGTGAAACCAAACCCCTATGGGCAGTACAGGGTTCCAACCGATGTTATTGATATAGCTACTGGATCTGACCCTCAAAAACTTGTTGACTTCCTAAAAGTGGTAAGATTTAAAATAGACCTATCTAGGGCTCTTCAACTCTGTCCATACGATTAAGTTTTGCGACAAATTTGCATGATTTACCCATGGACATGTTGATGTCATATCACATCCATATAAGGGCATGATGATGTCATATCTTACACTTATATGGGAAAATCTTGGGTATTTGTCTCATAAAACTTATGGAGTTGGTATGGTTTTCTTCGATGTGAAACACAACAAATACTGAAGTCTTTGACTAACTAATGGTAGCCCATGGGTATAACATGCTATGGAAAGAATCTGTAAGAATTGCTGTGTGGATTGAATTGAATAAATCGTTACAGTTTAACCAAACTAATAATTATTTATAATCATCACATTAATTGTTAAACTAAACCCCAAAAAATATATTGGATAAATAATTCACTGTACATTTGTACATTAGTTTATGGTTTATTTTCTTCTCTATGTTGTTAAGCACCTCAAGGTAGTGACAACCGCGAGGCGCTATATAAATCGAGAGTTATTATTCAGTATACTTAATGTTTTATGTAGCGCCGCTTGTTGGTACGAAAGGTAAATTCATGAATTGAAAACAATGAATGTACTTGGGATGTTTTTTGATCTACTATCAGCAGAACTTAAACTGGCACCGATGGGTGCTGGTGCTACTTGTTTGGTGAGGCGTTACTAGGTGTTACGCAACGCCCTCTATCAACTCTCCCATCACGGTAGATGCCGGGGGGGGGGGGGGCGATTTTTCAGGGTGTAAGTAGCACCAATACCCAGCCTGATGAAGTTTTACTGATAGTAGATCGAAATGTCATACGTATTTATTCATTGGTTTCAATTCATGAATTACCATTCTTCACTATTTGGAAGCCATTATACAAAAAATGTATTATACAATGTTTTATTATTTTATTGGAGAGCATTTGATATTCTTCATACTTATTAACTCCATACAGGAGGCCGAGCGACAGGCAAGAGAAGATTCTACCAAAGACGACACTGATGATGTGGAAAGATGATGATTAGGATTTAATAATCTAATTTCTTATATTTATTTCATACATGGCTCAAATGCATTTGTACATTTTGGTTCAATAGTGAGGGACCAATTGCATAGCAAGATAATTTTACTAAAAGCATCTGGGTTGGAAAAAAATTTGATGAATAAAAAACTACGAGTGCTTGGGAGCACCATTTAGCTCTTGCTCAAGGTCATATCATCAAATACAGAATGCCAAGTGACATTGTAAACAGCTCCTGGGGTGGATGCAGTATTTGGCAATAGGGGGTGCATGAGAGGCCACATCACCTTAGCCCCAACATGGTTGGGGAGTGTTCGTAAAATTTTCAGTATATGGACCTCGAGGATAAGACAGTAACTCCAAAAAGAGACAGAGACATTTTCTATTTGGTCATTTTCAAGAATACTGGTGAGAAAATCTCACCCATCCATATATGTTTACAATATTTACAGAAGTATAACAGAAAGCAAATAAAAACCAACCAATCAGATTAAAATCAAAGTTATAACCAGCCAATTAAAAACAAGGTAATTAAAAATGAGGACCTCTAGGTCTAGATGTGTGCAAGATCTGAAGCAGGGTTGCAATTAATGGCAGCACCAATGGGGTAGCACAGGGGTTCAGTTCCCCATCGGAGAGCCAAGCATAATCGTTAATTATCATATCCCTATGATGGACAGCTTAGACCCACTCTCTGCAGTAGTGGGTCCATTTGCAATCTTTTACATTTCAAGCCAAACTTTAATCAACTCTTGCACCAATAAATCCAGTGAATAATAATCATGCTAGCAAATGGTGAATACATAACCTCCTTGATGGAGGTAATAACAATAATAATGATAACAGATGTTTTCAGGGACAAAGGCTTTTGGGAAGAAAAAAAAATAATTGATTGATTGCAATATTGTCTTGATTGGTCCCACTTTCGCCCCCCCCCCCTCCACCCACATCTCTGGATCTTCCCCAGGTTTTTAACAAAGTCTTCATTGTCATAATAATACTTAAATACAAAAACAATACAAAATTTTTAAAAAACAAAAAAAAAGTATGCCAAACAAAAATACACAAAACTGAATTAACTTACAACTATTAAAAATGTTAATATCTTACAGAGGATACGATATAATTTAGACATTACATGAATTTTACATAAGTTATTTGTTTTTTACTACAGCTGTTTATATTTTTGAATTCTTGTTAAACTTTACTTTGTACTGGAGTGCTTCATTGGGAAATATTTGGTTTTTCTTCACTCGACTCTGCACTGTGAAAATAAAATTGGAATTGTAAGCATAAATTTGTTTGATATAACAAATCTTTAAAATTAATAAATTGTTAATACTTGGATGTTACAAAAACAATTGAAACAAATAAACCATAAAAAATAGCAACAAATCACAAGTATTAAAAGCCACTGTTAGCCCTTTGAAAGAAAAACCAATGTAAACATAATGGTAGATGATTTTAACAAATCTTAAGCTTAAATTTGATCTGCAATAGAGCTAAAAATATTTTTTTAATGGAAACTACTGCATGCCAAGTTTAAAGGTCATTATCCTAGCAAGCAAAAAAAAAGTCAATTTCCTCTGCAGACAAATTACATTAGAATATGCAAAAGCCGACGGAGTATTTTAAGACAGGCAAAGCCAAACAACACAGAAATCACACAAAATAAATAAAAATTTACATTCGAGGAAGATGGATAAGAACATGAAACAAAAATACAAAGAAAAACAATTCGTTAAAAAACCAAGTTAAAAAAAATTGAAAAAACTTGTTGATTTAAAAGAATTACATAATCTGTACCTACTTTGAAAACAATTCAGTTTTCACTAATCAATGTTCTCCTGAAGCCGGATTTTCCATCCTAATTTGCCGGAATAAAAGTGGTTCCAACGGGAATTAAAAGTCAGTCTTAATTGTTTAAAGACTAATGTTTATCAAGATTTTTAGATGTTTCATCGTTGTTATTTATAGGCTTCTTGTCTTTGTCTTTTTTTTTTTTTTTATTGAATTCTGCACACTGAAACCAGAATATAATTTTTTATATATAGTGTTTGTTGACAGTCTGAGGCTTCTTCAGGGTACTACCACCCTGTGGAAAAATCCTTGTCCGCGTTGGCATATTTGACGTTTTGCTCCTTAAAAATGCCCAACACATGTTTTCCCCCGTTATTTGAAGAATATCTACTGTAGTGTATAGAACATATTTCTTATTTCATAATACTGAAGCACAGCAGAAATTGCCCTCGAATTGTAAACTTGAACAAGAGGTTAATCAAACTTTGGTGCCTGAAGAACTAAAATATCAAAACTGCAGTCTGAAGAGCAGACTACTAGAACAGGTGTGCAAGACTACTTGACCAGGTGATTGTGGGATAAAGGAGAAATTATTAATAATGATTAATTTCATGCTCTGTTACACATTGTCAGGTGGGTGATTTATTAAATTACAAATAATTTCTGTTCATTAGTTTTTACATATTTTATAAAACTTGCAATGATGGAATTCATGCTTCATCTCTCACCTTAATAAGCAAAGCCTGATCAAATTAAAATCTGTAAAATATGACATGAGATAAAACAAATATTGCTAAATTATTACTACTTGCATTACTACACTGTGAGTAGAAAATATAATGTACATAACTATTAGGAGAATCTAATTCTTTTTTTGTAAATCCAAGTACATGTATATAGTTACTGTAATTAAAAGAAAAAACCTACAAATTATGGCAGTACGTACTATTCACATTTCTGTTGAACACAGTACTATGCAGGGGCAGATTCTGGTATGTCCAAAAGGCGGGGCCCCAAAAGTGGGACCGATCGAGATAACACCATCCCAGGGGTCTAGAGGCATGCCCCACAAAATATTTGTTTTCTAGACGCCCGAAAATAACCTCTGAGGCATCTTGGGCGATCAATTTTTTCTTTTTCTTTTTTCTCTTTATTTTACTTTCCAAAAAAGGGGGGGAACCTACTATGGGATTTCAAGGCTAATTGTCTTACACAGTACTATGCAGGGGCAGATTCTGGTATGTCCAAAAGGCGGGGCCCCAAAAGTGGGACCGATCGAGATAACACCATCCCAGGGGTCCAGAGGCATGCCCCACAAAATATTTGTTTTCTAGACGCCCGAAAATAACCTCTGAGGCATCTTGGGCGATCAATTTTTTCTTTTTCTTTTTTCTCTTTATTTTACTTTCCAAAAAAGGGGGGGAACCTACTATGGGATTTCAAGGCTAATTGTCTTAAACCACTAAGCTACATCTTTTATGATAACTTAAATGATGATAAAATCAGCAAGAGTTAGTGACAAATAATAGTATCTATCACATATTTACATGTATTTATAAAAATTTTAAGGCAGCCTGTTATTGGCATTTGATTGCTGTTGGATGTGTTTTTTGAAATAAAAAAAAAAACAGATTTGTTATAGCACTTTATTATTAAAAACCAATCTTTTATACTTACCAGACTTTTGTTAGTAGCTTGTTAGTCGATTGCTCTTCAAGCTTAAAATGTGTGTAGAGAATGATTCCAAACAAAGTCATAGCAACTCCAAAAGTCTGGTTAAGGTGGAGAGGGTCACGGAAGATGAAATATCCACCTAGTAGCGTCGAACAGAATTTGAAGTGTCCTACCATGTTGTATCTGAATCTCAGTCAAGAAAGTTAATTATTTTGCTGATAAATTGATGAGACACTATCTAAGTATAGGTGACTATCTGGGTATGAATATTCAGGTATGCACAACTAAATATCCCGGTATGGACAATTATTCGGGTATGGTCAAAATTCTGGGTAAAGATGTCTATTCAGGTATGGGAAATGCACTGGGTATTAACAGCTGTCTGGGTATGGGCGACTGTCCATGGTACATAGGTAAACATAGCAAATGTGGCAGATGTTATAATTGGCAAATTTTCTTTTTTTTTAGATAAAATATAATTTTTTTCTATCAATAACATGATAAAGCATATAGAAAAAAATAATTATTTAAACACATTATGATTTTAATAACTATAATGATATGCTATTATGGTAATTAACAACAGATAATTAAGGATATCATATAAATGTAATTACAGTTTATTAAAGGATACGTGACAGGTGATGTATTTCCAATAATCCAAAAAATTGATAAATTGACAGAAAAAGCAACAAATCCTGAAGCAAGCATTACAAGCTGAAATTTGATAAAGATAAATTTTATTAAATATATATTTTCTACCATTAAAAAAACCCTCCAAAATTTGATTACAATTAAAAAAATAGATCAAATGATCAACATCGTATCATTTATTGATTTCTTATAAATCAAATATGCAAAAGACTTTTGATAAACTTTTAAATTATAAGCAGACATTTTCCTACAAAAATCCATACAACTATATGTGCTTCTTATAAAAACCAACAACTGCTGATAATTGTTGTAATAATTTTTCGTTACAAAAGAAAAACCTGCATTAAAAGTAGCAGTGCTCTGAAATCCTCAATTGCTTAGGAACTAGGCATTGTTGACATCAAGTGTCAATTTGGGAATGGTTTTTCAAATAATTTTCAACATTAAAAACTCATAGAATGGTGATTACTGTAGTCACACCATAAACACTGCCAGACTTGATAATGCACATGCTATAAACAAAGCATCAAGGCTTACAAAATCAAATTTCTTTAATATATAAAAAAAAATGTTCAAACTTACAATAGCACCAGAGGACCACGGTTGAAAAAGTCCACCAGCAGCAAAGACTGGTTCAAAGAAAGGAATGATGATTAAAATGAGGATGCAAGATAGAGGAGCTTGGTAGTAAAGCAGTTGCATCGAATTTACTTGGAACTCTTTCTGCTTTGTAGACACCCACTGTGGATTCAAACACAAAACTTTAACTACTGCATCTGTCCTACATTGAAATACTGATTAATTATTTGAACACTGTATGACCACTCTCCATGAGTGTAGACTGCAGGGGTGCTGGCACACCCACCCACCCCCTCCTCCCATGGCAGCAACTTAGTTTCACCATTGTGCGCTGAACCGTGGAGATCTTTAGGTCCCATGGTTAATTACCATCGCTGCCTCTCATTGTATTTCAGCTGGAGGGCTGAAATACAAGTTATAATAGTGCACCATCTTTCGGATGAGACGTTTAAGCCGTTGGTCCCGTGTGCATTATGGCCTATGTGCACGTTAAAGAACGCAGTACACTCTTCAGAAAAAAGTAAGAGATTGTCTCCCGGTGTCAGACCAATCACCACCAGAAGGACCCCACTGGAAATTAGTCTCTTTTAGACTTTCATGAGCTATCCTTGGTGTTTACACCAAATTAATTCAATTCAATTGGAATTGGACTTCAGTTCCATATTCTCATTTTTTGCACAGCACCCCTCTCCCAGTCTGAAACCACCCCCTCTCCCCTTGGCAGTAGACTAGTTCCACTAAGTGGATTAAAATACATAAATTAACCATTAAATTTTCATTGGAATAGGGATTCTGGGATTTATTTTAACATTCTCATTTTTCGCACCCTCCCTCCCCCCCC